AGATAGATAGATAGATAGATAGATAGATAGATAGATAGATAGATAGATAGCTTTCATATATATGCAGGTCTTGATGTATTCGGGTCTTTTCCCGTGTAAGATTGACAGTATCTTGGCAGTATCGAAACGTCACCAAAATACTGTCACACAGGAAAAGACTTGAATATGTTGAATACACCAAGACGTGCATACCTATACCTGTGAAAATCTACGAAAACAAATTTCATATATACGTGTATATACTGCACATACATGCACATTGTGTGTGTATGTTTATATACGTACACATATACACAAATATGCATATATACACACATACAAACACATGAATATATTTACCCACATACATACACATATATACATAGACACACATATCTACATACATATACATACATAAACATACACACATATGCATATAAACACATATACACACGTACACATACATCTACACAAACACACACACATCTACAATATACACACATGCATATATAAACACATATACACACATACATTTTTACATTGGGGAATATTTAACTGTATGTATGTATGTTTATATGTATATGTGTGTGCGTATGTGTGTGTTGCGAATTATCCTAAAAGTACGAGTTCCAGGTGTAGTTATAAAAGAAGAAACAGACGTTGCAATCTCTGGAACTTAAAATATATTGCTCACTTAGCTTTCGTTGGGCTTTATAACATCGTAAGAGTGTAAAAACTATGCGCGTAATGGCCAAATTGATTAATAGTGTATAAAGGCAGATATCTCTTCAATGGTAGTTTTCTTTTGTATACAAGTGTATGCATATGTATGTGTATGTTTATGTGTGTGTGTACGAGCCAGAGACAACAGTTGAGAGAGCCAAGGACACAACCTTGAGAATGGAATGCAAACAGCCCCCAAAGAGGCCCCCAAAGCTTGAATGTTACCAAAACACCAAATTTGAACCTTACTGGACATCACCAAATTGACCCTGGTAGGAGAAGAGAGAAATTCCAAGTTTGAATGGGAAGCCCTTAGAACTGGCTTTGCTACACTTTAGTCAACTAGCCTTAGTAAAAGAATACACTGAACCACAAAATGGAATCCAGAGTCTTTCTTTCCTGAATGCTCAGGTTGGGACAGGCTTGACACTGATTAGTTATATACACTCCTCTTATCCTATCCTAAATCCTTCTACCTTTTTCAATTCCTTCTTGTGAAGAATATGATTATGAGAGACTTTGAGATAGAATATCTGTCCCCGCCTTTGTTTAATTTTTACACTTTTCCTTCGAATCAGAAGACAATTGTTTAGCTAAGAAAATTGCCTGGTATCTAAATTATATATTATTTTTCTTTTCTTTCTTTTCAAAGGACCGTCAAATACTGGAAAAGTTATTGCGGTATGGTGAATGGGACAGGTAAGTGTGTCAATGGGAGCAGCAATTAAATGTTCATTATTGTGTAGAACACACAACAAACATTTTGACCTGCCTTAAAATAGGAAAAGGTTGGAAACTGAAGTCAAGGGGCAAAGCTCCTAAAGATCCCACTTCAACAGATAAAATAAAAAAATACAATAAAATACAATAAATGAAAATCCTACCCTCACAATGATTCTATAGAGCACTGCACACCAAGACAACTGGACACAAGAAGAGTTTTGTTCCCGAACTCCACGACTGTGCTGAACAAATAATTCCCTCAACACTGTCAAACCATTCANCCGGCAGATGGAATTCGGAGGAGGCCTAATTTCTGGGATCTAATCGGTCTATTGGAGGTGATTGGCAGCAGGTGGTCTCTCAAGTACCCAGGTCCAATACCATGAAGGGCTTTATAAGTGATGAACTGCAGATAACAGTCAGCTGAAGTGGCCTGAAGTACTACACTCTAACCACTGCACCACCTCGGCTCACAATGCCTATTTAGGGGAAGGGGAATTATGAGAAGGGTCTTTCCGTGCCTGACATCTGGAGAGGGGAGGCTTAGTAGGCCTTAGATCGCACACCAAAAAATGCCACACGCAAGCCGTGTTTTAAATGCCTCCAGAAGTTGTGAATGCTCCAACACTGGAAGTTTTTAAGAAGAGGTTGGATAACCATTTGTCTGAAGTGGTGTAGGGTTTCCTGACTCAGCCGGGGGTTGGACTAGAAGACCTCCAAGGTCCCTTCCAACTCTTGTTATTCTGTATTTTGTAAGCGGTTTGTTGTTGTGCATGAACACAACTCTCTAGAGCAAGTTGACCAGTGGGTGTATTTTCTTTTCACCCAGCTTTGTTTTGCTTTGATCTCCATGGGGATATTATATAAGAGGCTTTCTGGCTTGGTCCAAGGTAAACTATTTGTCTTGGGTTGAATTTTGTCCTCGGGGTAATAATTGGAGAAAGCTTCTTCCAAGCGTGTGTCTTTGTGGGTGGTTTGCTCTTCCTGGTGGCCATCTGAACAGCCATCAAAATGAACCCATATCTGAACCAGTTTGGGAGGGTGGAAATATGGCTTCTCATAGAGGATTCTATGGAGTAATGCAAAACATATTGGAAAGAGGCCTCAAATGTGCAAATATGTGTGTTGTGGAAAGGAAAGGAGAGGAGGGAAGGGGAAGGGAAGGGAGAGGAGAGGAAAGGAAGGGAAGGGAAGGGAGACAAAAAGAGAGGAGAGGAGGGGAAGGGAAGGGAAGGGTGGGAGGCAGTGGTGAGTTTCAAAAAAATTTGGAACCTCTTCTAACCAGTTCGATAGATTTGACGAACCGGTTCTACTGAACTGGTGCGAACCTGTAGGAACCCACCTCTGGAAGGAGGGAAGGGGAAGGGAGAGGAGAGGAAAGGAAGGGAAGGGAGGGGAAAGGAAGGGAGAGGAAAGGAGAGGAAAGGAAAGGAAAGGGAAAGGAAAGGGGAAATGGGAAAGGAAAGGTGAGGAGAGAAAAGGAAAGGAAGAGGAGAAAGGAAAGGAGAGGAGAGGGAGACGGAAAGGGAAAGGAAATGGAAAAAAGAAAAGGGGAAGGGGAAGGAAAGGAAAGGAAAGGAAAAAAGGAAAGGAAAGAGAATGGAAAGGAACAGATTTGATGGTCAAATATCCAATGCACTACTGGCAGGGAATGCAAGCTTTAGAAGATAGAACAACAGAGTCGGAAGGGCCCTTGGAGGTCTTCTAGTCCAGCCTCCTACTCAAGCAGACAAATGGGTTGTCCCAAATCCCTCCTTGAAAGCCTCCAGTGATGGAGCACCCACAACCTCCGAAGGGAAGCCCTTCCACCAATTCCAGTTGTTCAGCCCTTAACAAGTGGTGTCTTCTTCTTCTCCTCCTCCTTTCCCGCCCCCTCAAAGGATGCGCTATCTGCCTAAGCAAAACATCACCGAACATATGGACACCCTCAACTACGTCCAGCCAAATATCATCCGTTTCGAACCCGATAAGTCCATCGGCTCGGAAAACGACAATGTCACCACGGTCAACCTTGCTGTTGTGGTAAGCCAGCCTTCCTGTTAGATTTCTGTCATCTGAACATGGAATTGTCGTCAATAATGTGGACTGTGATCAGTGGTGGGATTCAAATAATTTCTCTACCCTAATGACCAGCTGGGTAGGCGTGGCTCGGTGGTCATGTGACTGGGTGGGTGTGGCCAACTCAACATCACTCAGGTCGATGGGCACTTCGCCTTAGCTGTGACAATGTCATAAAGGTTAACCGGAGAGGCAGTTTCTCTAAGCAGGGCAATAAAGATTAGGCTAGAAACAACACTAGAATGTTTCCTTCCTTCCTTCCTTCCTTCCTTCCTTCCTTCCTT